CTCGGAAGGATTGGGGGTTCAGGGAGTCTTGGGGGGCTCAGAAGGATTGGGGGTGCAGGGGGCCCTGGGGAGCTCAGAGGCGCACCGGGCCCTGCAAGGGGTGGTGTGTCAGCGCTGCTGGCTCCTGGTCCATCACCAGCAGGCGCTGCACATGCAAGTGTCCCGGGAGCAATACCGCAATCTGGTGAGTGCTGCCCTGCGCAGCCCCCCACGCCATGGACGCCGCCCCCTGGTGCTATACATGGTGGACATGCTGGACCTGCCCGACTCAGTGCTACAGGACCTGCCTCAGCTGGTGGATGCAGGGTCCAACATCCTGGTGGTGGGCAACAAGGTGGACCTGTTGCCTGGGGACTCTCCAGACTATTTGAATCGCTTTCGAAAACAGCTGCTGAGGAGCTGTGCCCGTGTGGGCATCCTCCCTGCAGTCCAGGGCACGGGGGGCCAGGTTGGCAGGACTGCGAGCCAGAACTTGGTGGATGTGCACCTGATCAGTGCCAAGACAGGCTATGGAGTGGAGGAGCTGATCTCCAAACTGCAGCACTCCTGGAAGTGCAATGGTGATGTGTATCTCGTAGGAGCTACCAACTCCGGCAAATCCACACTGTTCAATACCCTGCTGCAGTCTGACTATTGCAAGTCCAAAGCCCCGGAGGTGATCAACAGAGCAACAATCTCGCCCTGGCCAGGTGAGAGGGGCATGGATGGGGACTTTTATCAGTATCTGTTTGGACTAAGCTTTTGGGGACAAGGAGTGTCTCTTAGGCTTTTATATAGGGGCCTATGCCTGATTGCGGTCTCCTGGGTGGTGTTATTTATATAATAACTATTCCCCAAAAAAGTTGGTAAAAGAACTTTTAAGGTTGAAAAATCAAGCACTCCAAAGTTAACAAATGTCAGCGTTAAGCTTTCCCTTAATTCAGTCTCCTTGTGCATTTGTATTATGATACAGGCTTATTAAATACAGGCATATTAAATGGCACAAACCTTTGTTAACATAGAGTTACAGTTGTCTGGTGGTAGCTCAGGCCTTTCTAGAACTTCAAGTTCAGCAAAACTCAAACCAGGAAATACAGCCTTAACTCAGCCCTGTGAAGCTGGCAATAGCCACTGGAAATCCTCTGCATACACTCTAAGCATTAGGTGTAGCTGTATTTAATGGGGGAGGAATGAGCTGGGACAGTTTGGAAGAGCTGTGATTGTGGTATGAGGAGATTTGCGGCTGAGTACCCCCATGTGGGTTTTCAGAAGAAAGAGATGCGGGTTCCAGTCTGCATCCATTCAGTACAGCATTGTGTAGGTTGTAGCAGGGCAGTGGAAGCTTCTTGACATGGGCATTGGCAGTGGTGAGATGATATATGAGAGCAGCTGTGTGTGGATTTAATGATGGGTAGGGGAAAGTCCAGGTTTGGGAAATATCCTGTGTACAAGTGTCAAGGGATTGTAAAAGGGTATGAAGCAGTTGTTAAATTTCACAAGTGTGATATTCTGTTAAGGGAGTAGGCTCATGTTTGAGCATAGGGTAAGTGCAGATAACACCTGTCCATTAGAGGAAAGGCAGAGTGCCAATATTTGTGTTACTGGTGTGTTGGGGCAGAGTTAAGGTTGTGTGGGGTTTTACCTTAACTCTGTATTAACTGATTATCAGAAGTTTGAGTTTTGCTGAACTCAGCATTCTGGAGGGACACAAGCTATCGCCAGATAACCTTAATTCTGTGTTAACAAAGTTTTTTGTCAGTGAATTTCTTAGTTTTTTAAACAGAAATGTTTGTTGGTAGGAGGCAGTGGTCATTTGGGCAGTTGTAGTTCTCACTTAAGTTTGCAGTTGATATGCTACTGTGGTTAATAATAAAAAGACTTAGCTTTTATCTAGTGGTTTCATCAATAGATCTCAAAGAACTTCACATAGTCCCATTTCACAGATGGGAAACTGAGGCACAGAGGTGAAGTGACTTTCCCAAGATTACCCAGCCAGATAGGGGCAGAGCTAGGAATAGTCCCAGTCCAGTGGTCTTTCCACTAGGCCACTCAGTTGCTATGTGATTCCTCAGTGCTCCTCCCCGCTCCTGTACGTTTTGTTGTAGTGGAATGGGGATAATGGTCGTGCTTTGAAACATTTGCAGTGTGTAGCCGCTAACAGGGCCAGCGAGAGAAATCTCATCCGTGTTCTATGTCCCAAAATCTTGACAGTTTTATGACATGGTTGTTATAGCAATTCTAAGCATGTGAGGGAAGACTCGTGTGTCTCTCTCCTTCTCTGCCCCCTGCCACAGCATTCCCTGCAACATACAGTGCCCACCCTCAACATTTCCAGCTCCCCCTCCCATTCCCATCCCATCAAGCCAGCAGATGGCACAGCATGCCAGTTCTCAGGTCCTCAGTGTGTTCTTGGTGCACGCACCCAGCATGCCTTTTTAAAGCTCTCCACCCAGAGGGGCAGGGGGGCTTCCACAGATCCTGGCTTACATGGCAGGGCAGAGGGACAAGAGAAAGGGGCTAGACGCCCCCAGAAAGGTAAGAGGTCTCCAGAGCCTGGTTCATATGGGGAGGCAAGGAGAGGGGTCAGACCACCATAGATGGGCTGAGCCCCTAGATCCTGGTGCACACACATAGGAGTAGAGAGAGGGGCTCAAGCACCATTGTGGGGACAGGACATCCAGGTACCAACTCACATAGAATCATCGAAGACTAGGGTTGGAAGAGACCTCAAGAGGTCATCTAATCCAACCCCCTGCTCAAAGCAGGGCCAACCCCAACTAAATCGTAGGAGGGTAGACCCTCACATCCTGGTGTTCAGACATGGAAGGGGATAAACCTCTGCCCCTAGTCTTCCCCATCCCTCTGCCACTCATTCTCATGTCCCCTTCCCATTGTTCCTCTCCTGAGCCCCCCCCCAGTCTCCCTCAATTCTTCTATCACCCATCCCCACTTATCCCCCCCCTTGCTGCCGCCCCCACCCCCCTCCTCCCCCCACCCTCCTCTTTTTTTTTTTTTTATTTTCTTTTAACAAAACTGCTTTGATTACATTCCCCCAATATAAAAAACAACCAATTGTGCCTCTCTGGTGACACAAAGCAGCTGTTAGACCTGGTTTAACTGGCCAGTTAAGTTAGCTTTGCATCTAGTTTGCTTCACTCTGGTAGCTGGAATGGGCTAGTGAATTTGCCTTTTGAAAGGAATTTACCTTTCTTGATTTCCATCGGTATGTTGTGGTGGCGCTCAGAGCTGTTTACCTTACAGTGGAGAATTATGTCAGTCTTCAAGCAGTGGCACATCTGTTAGTTGTAGTCTAGTGCAGAACTTTTACGTTTCTAGAGGCTTTCTTGACAAACTGAAAAACCAAAAATTAGCTCCTCTCTGCACTCAGCATGGGTGGCTCATGGGTTTCTCTGCTGTCAGTTCAACCATTATCAAATTTGCAGGCAGCATCAAAATTGGAAAAGGGCTAAGCAGTCAGGCAGCGGGACAGAACCAAACTGCAAAGTGACCTGGAGAGAACAGGTCATGTATTTTACTGCTAGCCCTGGTGGTTTGCAAAATATCAGATGTTAAACCTCTTCCTGGTCCTTCGGTGAAATGGGGCTCTTTTTGGCACTGGCCTAGGGCTGAATATAGCAAGTCCTGTGTCAGTGTTATTTTCAGTTTCTCAATATATACATAACTCTTAAACTCCAGTTCATATAATTTGGCCAAATATTTGTCTCAAAATCTCTTTGGGAAAAATAATGTTTCGCAGTCTTGTCCAATACTGAATAATATTCATTGAAACAGAGCTGCCTAGCTTTCAGTGTCATTATTCAGTGAATCTGGCACCTCTGGAAGGTGACCTTAGCAGTGGAGGCGGGAGCCTCCTGTTGAGATGCTAGAGGCACAGAAGTAACAACTCTTGATGCTCTTGTATTGACACTCCTCAAGGGGTGAAGTTAGTTCAGCCTTCATGCTCATTGATGCCTTTGCCTCTCTGCTAAGACCATCAACAGTAGTTGGAGATAAAATAATTTGGCTGACCTTCCATTCCCCCATAAGCTTCACCTTGGCCAGCTAATACATTATAAATTATACAATTGCATGGTCTACACTAAGGTTGTAAAATGCATTCCAGTGTGTTAGCTAACACATTTTTAAAAAACATCTTCCTTCCTAGCCTCAACAAGGCCGTGGTGTCTTCCAGGAAAAAAACTGTAAAAAAACCATGAATTTCTAAAGTTAAAAAAAAAATCAAATTTAAATGTCCACAGCCCCATTGTTTTCTTTGCACATCACCTTTAAAGGGCAAATTGAAAGAAACATCAGGTTTTACTCTTACAAAATTCTGTTTGCTTTCAGTAGTTCTTTAAAGACATTTTTCACATATAGTTTTTATATTTTTTTTCCAGTAAATGGAGAGCCATAAATAAGAATCATAATAGCAAAATGGGATAGGTGTTAATTCTGAAGTAAATATCACTGCAGAATTTTGCCGGTTTTCATGCAATTACACAATTAAAGTTTCTTTGCAAAAGAATGTGTTCATAGGCATAATCCTTTCATATCATGCTCAGCACACTTTCTTCCTAGAACTCCTGTTATTCCAATCCCATCCTTCATTCCTTTCTCCAGTCCACCTAACACACGTTCAGTGTTCTGATACTAACAGAAAGGTAATGTTTTAAGGATTTGGCTGAGCCAACGCCATGTGCACGGCACTTGTGGCAGCAAGAAAAATGTAAATCACTTTGCTGCAGTTGTTGAGAAAGACTTTCATTTCTAACCAGGTGTTCAACCCAAATGCTATTGACCTAATTCTGGGCCTTTAAAATCAAGGAGAGTTTTGCCCTTGGTTTTAATGAGACCAGGATTTGGTCTCCAGTGGCCTAGTCTACACTATGTCTGAGTACAGTTGCCAAAAATTGTGTTTTGTGACTCGGGTCTAAAATGTTTTGGCAATTTTTAATCACGATGAGCTGATGCAGTGCTGAATGTGGTTTGCTCTTGTCTGCTCTGCATGCTAAGTAGTGTTCATCATCAGTTCAGCTAACACGACAGCTGACAACCGCTGTCCAACATCACAGTGTGATCCTAGCCACTATGGCAGGTGATTTCTGAGAAGAGCCATTAGCTTAGCAGTTGACTTTAGTTTTGTTGCTGTTGTGATTGCTTTTCTGTTTCATAACGAAGAATGAGGCCATCATACAGCCTGTGAACTTTCTTCTGCATGTGGCTTTTTTCATTGTTTGAACCAAAACATTGAATTGCTTTTATATATACTGTGTTCAGTTTGCATAGTCACAGACCTGGATAATGTTGGAATTTGTTTTCCAGGCACAACTTTAAACCTCCTGAAATTTCCAATTATTAACCCTACATCTGACAGACTGTTCAGGAGACAGGAGAGGCTAAAAGCAGATGCAGAAAAAACGGAAGAACAACTTAGTGATGATGAACAAAAATATCTTAAATGCCTTAAAAAGCAAGGTTATTTAATAGGTGAGTATTACCTGAGGAAGAGTATCACCATTTGTTCTCAGATGCAAATACTGCATTATACAAAAGACTCAATTAAGCTTTACTGTATGGTAAGTCAGTGTCTAAAGTGAACTCTTAATTGGTAAACATTGCTAGCCAACATACATTTATGATACATTCTAATTTGGGTTACTAGCGTACGTGATAGTAGAACAGCATATCAGAGTAAGAATTCTTTCAAATATATATTAATAATCTTCTGTAAATCCTTATTCTTGATCTTATTAACAAAAAGCTATCTTAACAAAAAAGCAGATTAGGGGCCGACTTGATTACAGTCTATAAGTACCTATATGAGGAACACACATTTAATAATGGGCTCTTCAGTCTAGCAAAGAAAGTTATAACATGATCCAATGGCTGGAAGTTGAAGCTAGACAAATTCAGACTGGAAATAAGGCATAATTTTTTTGACAATGAAAGTAATTAACCATAGGAACAATTTACCAACGGTCATGGTGGATTCTCCATCACTGGCAATTTTTAAATCAAGATTGGATGTTTTTCTAAAAGATCTGCTCTAGAAATTATTTAGGAGAAGTTCTTTGGCCTGTATTATAAAGTAGGCCAGACTAGATGATCACAATGGTACCTTCGAATATGTGAATATCTAATATGCAGGAACTCTGACTTTCTAAAAGTCATAACTTCAGATTTTTTTTTTATGTCACCTGCTTTCATTCTACCCGATAAGAGGTGTATATACATAAGTTTCTCCTGGACACCACACCAATGCATCAATTCAGTCCTTGTCCTTCTGGTGTAGGTGGCTTAATGGATTTCCAGGATTGCATCGCAACTTTCTCCTTTTCCAAAATAAAAAAGACTAATACACTTAATTGTATTGGCGATTCATTGGTAATATGCAAACTGATAGTGTGTCTTGTAGAAATGAGCTAAAAGACTACATTTACCTTCAAAGAGAACGTTGTCCAAAGACACTTTAATATAGCTGGAGATAGGCCCAGCTACTGAGTTAGGTTTTAGATTTCCAGCAAGTGCAGAAATGTTCAGATCTGGAGTTTTCGTTCAGGCATATCCCTATGTGACCAGGGTTCTAGGGGGGGCCACGCTGAGATCGCTCAATCAGGGCAAACTGCACAGAAGGGGGCAGATGATCCCCCAAACTGGTAGTTATTTCTAATACTTAGATTCACCAAGCCAGCAACAAAACAGCTTCTATGATACCTAACTGGTTACCCAGAAGCCAAAACACAGCTCCCTTAAAGCGACCCAGCCTTGAGCGCCCACCCAGACAGCCAGCTCAAATATGATGAGGATTCCTGAAAATCATCTTCACCCTATAAAAAGTTATTCCAATCCCAAAGGATCAGATGCATCACCCACATGGTCAGTGAATATTTCAGATCTTACCCAAATACACGCTTACCGCCAATTCTTATCAACTAAACTAAGATTTATTAAAGAACAGAGGGTGGGTATTGGTTAAAAGATCATTCTACACACAGACTTGAATAAAACTCTTAGGTCAGTTTCATAGTAGAGATGGTGAGCTTTGCAGTTGCACAGAGTTCTTTCAGAATTAATCCATAGGTTACAGTCCACTGTCCAGTATCAGGGAGATCCCGATGGGACTGGAGACCTCAGTCTTGGGACTCAACCTTCCCCTGACAAGCTTAAGCAGAACTGAGATAATAGGGTCAGGGCTCAAGAGTTCTTTTTATAGTTCTTTGGCAGCCTCTTGACAGCCTGCAGTCCTTGGGTGAACAATAGTGGCTTTGAAGTAACCTCCTATTTCTTAAGCATAATCAGTAATTAGCTACATGGATTAATGTAAAGCAGCTACCCATCTCCCGCCAATTACAGGTAGTTTACTACATACTTCAAAGAGAAATTAAGACAGTGATATTACTACATTCATAGTTCATCTAAATGTTAACATCTTCTTTTGATCTCTGAATTAACAGAATACAGCGATAGGAACCATTTAGTTACATTGTCAGCCTCTAACAATATATTTGTAAACACATACAAAAACACAACTATTATCTACTAATTTATCTCTAAACGTTTAATCTGGGTCAGTTAGCCTGCTAGTTCTGTAACCCTTTCTGGTGCTGTCACACCCTAATTAAAACACTTATTATTAACGCTATATAGAGAGCAAAGACTTAGAAAACATAAAAGAAACAGTTGTGTGCAAATGGATGTATACTATATATATGTGGGCTTTCTTGATTGTAAGTCTGAACTAACAGTTATAAAAAAGAAAGCTAAGGAGGATAGTTAACGTTTTTCAGTCTTAAATTACCATATTGGGGGCTAATTACGCCACAGTTGCAACCGAGTTAGGAACCCAGTTGTAAAACTGTTCCAATTTCTAGTGTAGGCAAGATCTCCAGCCATGTTCCAAAACTGGGCTCACATTTGAAAAGGCTCACAGTGAGATGGCTGCATGTAAGTAAGGTGAGTAGAACATGGACTTGAGTTAATATTATAGCTAAATCAAAAGCTTACACTGCAGAAAACCTTCTCCATAGAGAGATCTCAATACAGAAGCAGATTCTGTATTGAAATCTCTGCTTTTGCAGAGCTTATAGCTCTGTGCAGTTTGTAAGACTGTAATTGCTGCAAACCAAGGGCCTTATCCTGCAAAGATGCGCATGCTTACATTTATACAAGCAGTTCCATCCAAGCAAATACTCACACAAGTGGAGTTAAGCACATGCATAAGTGTTTGAAAGATCAAGGTCTTAAATATCAAAAAAAGACAATCTAATTTACAAAGTGTTTTGTGCAATGCCTAGAACAATGGGAACACAATTTGGGTCCTTAGGGTTACTGTAACCACAAGGAGTCTGGTGGCACCTTAAAGACTAACAGATTTATTTGGGCATAAGCTTTCGTGAGCAAAAACCTCACTTCTTCGGATGCATAGAGTGAAAGTTACAGATGCAGGCATTATATACTGACACATGGAGAGCAGGGAGTTACTTCGCAAGTGGAGAACCAGTGTTGACAGGGCCAATTCAATCAGGGTGGATGTGATCCACTCCCAATAATAGACGAGGAGGTGTCAATTCCAGGAGAGGAAAAGCTGCTTCTGTAATGAGCCAGCCACTCCCAGTCCCTATTCAAGCCCAGATTAATGGTGTTGAATTTGCAAATGAATTTTAGTTCTGCTGTTTCTCTTTGAAGTCTGTTTCTGAAGTTTTTTTGTTCAATGATAGTGACTTTTAAATCTGTAATAGAATGACCAGGGAGATTGAAGTGTTCACTTACTGGCTTATGTATGTTACCATTCCTGATGTCCGATTTGTGTCCATTTATTCTTTTGCGGAGGGACTGTCCGGTTTGGCCAATGTACATGGCAGAGGGTTACTGTAATACAATAAAAAGAACAGGAGTACTTGTGGCACCTTAGAGACTAACAAATTTATTAGAGCATAAGCTTTCGTGGGCTACAGCCCACTTCTTCGGATGCGTAGAATGGAACATATATTGAGGAGATATATATACACACATACAGAGAGCATGAAAAGGTGGGAGTTGTCTTACCAACTCTGAGAGGCCAATTAAGTAAGTGAAAAAAAACTTTTGAAGTGATAATCAAGCTAGCCCAATACAGACAGTTTGATAAGAAGTGTGAGAATACTTACAAGGGGAGATAGATTCAATGTTTGTAATGGCTCAGCCATTCCTAGTCCTTATTCAATCCTAAATTGATTGTATCTAGTTTGCATATCAATTCCAGCTCAGCAGTCTCTCGTTGGAGTCTGTTTTTGAAGTTTTTCTGTTGTAAGATAGCACAGATCGTGGGAGACAGACCTGTCCTCGCTTACAGACAACCCCCCAACCTAAAGCAAATATTCACCAGCAACCACACATCACTGAACAAAAACACTGACCCAGGAACCTATCCTTGTAACAAAGCCCGAAGCCAACTCTGTCCACATATCTATTCAAGTGACATCATCATAGGACCTAATCACATCAGCCATATCATCAGGGGCTCGTTCACCTGCACATCTACCAATGTAATATATGCCATCATGTGCCAGCAATGCCCCTCTGCCATGTACATTGGCCAAACTGGACAGTCTCTACGCAAAAGAATTAATGGACACAAATCTGACATCAGGAATCATAATACTCAAAAGCCAGTGGGAGAACACTTTAACCTGTCTGGTCATTCAATGACAGACTTGCGGGTGGCTATCTTACAACAGAAAAACTTCAAAAACAGACTCCAACGAGAGACTGCTGAGCTGGAATTGATATGCAAACTAGATACAATCAATTTAGGATTGAATAAGGACTAGGAATGGCTGAGCCATTACAAACATTGAATCTATCTCCCCTTGTAAGTATTCTCACACTTCTTATCAAACTGTCTGTATTGGGCTAGCTTGATTATCACTTCAAAAGTTTTTTTTCACTTACTTAATTGGCCTCTCAGAGTTGGTAAGACAACTCCCACCTGTTCATGTTCTCTGTATGTGTGTATATATATCTCCTCAATATATGTTCCAGTCTATGCATCCAAAGAAGTGGGCTGTAGCCCACGAAAGCTTATGCTCTAATAAATTTGTTAGTCTCTAAGGTGCCACAAGTACTCCTGTTCTTTTTGCGGATACAGACTAACACGGCTGCTACTCTGAAACCTGTAATACAATAATAGCACATTATAGCAGGTCCGTGATCTGGGGGACTGCTAATAGCACTGGATTTCTTGTTTTTTGTTGGACAAGAAGGAAAATTTAAATACAGAAACCTAAGTCACTTTAACATCCTGACTTTTGAGCATTTAAATTTGTACACCTCAATCACATTTATATTACTTTATCATATGTATTTTATTTATTTTTAAGTGTGTAAGAAGGAAAAATTTCCAGTTGAAGAAAATGTAAAGTAACATAAATTATTAAAAATACTTTTCCTTTTTAATGTAGGAAGAGTTGGAAGAACATTTCAACAACAGAAGTCAAAAGCTGTCATTGACTTTGATCCTGATGAGCTCTCTTTTAACATGGAAGAGGAGCCTGTCTTTTCATCCAACAAGCCTAAAGAGAGAGTGGAATTTACATACAATGAACTGAAAGATGCTCGCTGGTTTTTTGACACGCCGGGGATTGTAAAAGAAAATTGTGTAGGTGCTCTGTCTGTCTGCATTTGAGAAGATCGGTATTTGGGAGAGGGAGTACTGTCATAGGCCTTGGCTACACTTGCGGATTCACAGCGCTGCCGCGGCAGCGCTGTGAAGCGCGAGTGTAGTCGCGCCGCCAGCGCTGCGAGAGCTCTCTCGCAGCGCTGCAAGTACTTCACCTCTCCGAGGGGAATAGCTTGCAGCGCTGCGAGGGAGCGAGCAGCGGTGCAGGCGCTGATTACACTGGCGCTTTACAGCGCTGCGCTCGGGGGGGTGTTTTTTCACACCCGAGCGCAGCAAGTGCAGCACTGTGAATTGCCAGTGTAGCCAAGGCCTTAGCTAACTTTGAGTGCAGGAATAGAGATTTTTGATATCCTTATGAAATAAAATACTCTCATATTCAGGTAATTATTTAGTGCCACCCAGTGTATCAGAATATTGTGTAATGAATAGAGCTGAGTGAATAATGGATTTTATTTTACTTTATTTTTATTTTTTGTTCAGAGCTGAACCAAAATTTGTTGGGGGGGGGGGAAGCCATTTTGAATCCCGTTTTATTCAAAAGTTTTCATTGAATCAAAAAACTTGAAATAAATTTGTTTCTAATTGACTGAAGTGTTTTGGTCAACTTGAAACAAATTTTTTCTAGTTTTTCAATTCAGTCATTTGTACGGGGTTTTCACTCTTTTTCACTCATTTTGAAATGGTCAAAATGAATTTTTTTAACTTTTTTTTATATTTTTTCTTTTTTCAGCCAAAACTATTCATCAGATTCAATCTGAATTTGCAAATTGTTTTAGAGCCTCGAAAACTTCATTGTTTAGGATAAATTTCTATTTCCCCAAAATAATTCTCCCACTTCTAGTAATAAGGCCTGTTTTATATAGCAAAATTTATCACACTGGTTGGTTTTGCTGTAGCAAGTAGTGCCATAACCATCTTACAACATGGGTATTTACCAATGTAGATAGGACTAAGCACTATTTATAAGCATGTTAGTGAACTGTTTACAGACCAGTTTTTTTGTAGATGAGCCCTGAATGTGTCTCTCTGTAGTAGTACATTTCTGTAGCAGGAATGAATGAGTCGGAATATTGAAAACGGGATCTGGTGGCAGGATATAAGATTATACCTTTAGCTCTGGTTTTGAGTGAGAATCAGATCACAAGAGATTAAAGGCTTGTCTGTTCTAAAAAAAATTATATTGGTTTAACTGAATTGATTTAAAATCCATCTAGTTAAACCAATGCAACCCCCTAATGTATAATCTGTTAACCATTGCTTAAATAAATTTGCTTTGCATTGTTAATTTACCAAATAGAGCTAATCCCATTTAAGTGCGTCTACATTAGGGGTTATTTAACTAAATCAATTTTTAAATAGATTTTAATGTTTAAACAGACACGATTTTTAGTATAAAAATACCTAGGACTGAGACTTTCAAAGCTGCTTAAAGGGTTTGAATGATAAATTCATGGGAATAAGAAGTTCAAATACCCTAATGGCTTTGAAAGTTTTGGCTTTAAAATTAATAGAGCCACTGGAAATATGCTCTGTAGAAATCCTGCAGAGTTCTATGGAGTTACGATCTGTCTATGGATATAACTGTTTTCTACAGAAGTGAAGTTAAACTTTAAAAAAAAAAAAAAAAAAAAAAAAGTCGTAGTAGTTTGACTTTCTAAGGCTAGTCTACCCACAGATCTTGTACCAGTATAACTCTTTTGGTTAGGGGGATGACAGATTTTTTTTAGCCAAAATAGCTAAACCAGTACAAACCCTAGTGTAGACACAGCTATATCAATAGAAAGGAGCCTTATACTGTTAAAGCTTACTCCCCAACATGTAGGGGAATGAGTTTTATTGGTCTAAGCACCTTTATACCAAGATAACTATAGCCACACTAGGCAGTTGGTACTGCTTTAACTATACCACTATAATTAAAGTCGTTCAACTTCTGTGTAGACACAAGGCCTAATTGTGAGGATAGACTTTCAAATAATGTTAGACTGACTGACCCAAAAAACTATGAGAGGTGTGAACTGCCCCATTCATCTCAGTAGCATCCTCAGTCAGACCTCAAAATTATTGCCTTGTTGAGATGTATAAAGGAGCTCACACCTTATTGTTACTCTCAGCTTCAGCCAGGCTCCAGGCTGTAATAACATGGTTAGGTGTCTCCTGCGTCAGCCATCTCAACAGGGTAAAGATTCTGAAGCCTAATGCAGATTTACTGTAAATGTCAATTTCACTGCTGGTCAGTTTAGTATATACATCTAGCTCAATCACAAGTTATGGGCTTGAAGCCTGAATTACCAGGTGAAATTCTATGATCTGTTTTATACAGGAAGTCAGAATAGATAGTTACATTGCTTCCTTCTGGCCTTAATATCTTTTAATTGAGTAGAAGCACCTAGCTAAGGTGTGTGGTTTGTATTCACTTGAAACAATGTTTGATATGAGCAAGTTTTAAAGACACAAATGATTAATTGTACCGCATCTAGCACAATGGGGACTTGATCATGATTCAGGCCTCAGGAAGGTAGTTAATAATGGCACACAAAATACTACATTGAAAGAGTGTTAAGGTTGCAAAATCAAGCATGCAAAAGTTTGGAAATGCCAGATTTAAGATTGCCCATGTAAACTTAATCCAGTCCCCTTGTGCGTATGCATTATAATCTGGTCTTTAATTACATGATCACACACTTTTTAGCCACAGGACCCCACCTTATTCAGCATGTAAGTTGGACGGTGCTCAATGAATGAGCAGCTTTTCTATTAATTTTAATTTTACCTTGGGTGAACAACCTTCCATGAACAATGTGTGGCCCCAGGCCTTATTTACTGCACACTATTCCAATCCTGCTCTGAAGACAGGATTATTAATTACCTTGAGGGCCTTTTCATCTTGCTCCTATAGTATCTGACTACTTCAGCAAACATAAATTAATCTTCACAATGCCCCTGTGATGTAAGGGGGGGCATTATTCTAATTTTACAGAAGGGAGAACTGAGAGACACAGGCATTCACATGAAAAATACACACTAAGTGGGATGCTCACTTTGAAATGTCTATGACCTGACTTTTCAGAGAACTTAGTGTTTTGTAGCACTTTATATGTTCGGAGAACAGTTGCAGTTGTGACCATTCAGCACGTCTGCAAATCAGACACCAGTAGTCTCAAGTTGGACACCCAGAACATGAACATATAGTTTTAGTGACCCCCTGTGAAAAGTTTGGATTAAGTGACTTGCCCAGTGGCTCATAGGACCTATATGCCCGAGATGGGGAGAGAATCAGTTCTCCAGGGTGCTGTTCAGCTGCCGAAGCTATGACGCCATCCTTACTCTTTCTGTCATCCATTGCTTCATGCACCTTCCAACTTCTGCAACAAATGAGGCAGGGGTCCTACAGACAACAGCTTCCTTCACTACATAGTGGTGATCATCCCTAAACACCATCCATCCTGTGCACTAAATGAGTCAGGGGTCCTGTGGAAAAACTAGCAAGTGATCATGGGATTAAATATTGCATCACAATGCATAGGTATAAGGGAGTCAAATTAAGGTTACACGAGCAATCTAAATTCTGGCATTTCCTAATTTTTGAGTACTTGACTTAGCAACCTTAACATTCTTTTAATATAGTTCTTGTATGTAATTTCCTAGGTTTTTAATATCAAACTGGGAGAAAAAAATGTCTGTCATGTGGAACCCTATTGGCTCCCATGTGGTTCATCAGCAGGATTCAGACCTTTAGAGCTACAGTAACTCCTCGCTTAACGTTGTAGTTATGTTCCTGAAAAATGTGACTTTAAGCGAAACGATGTTAAGCGAATCCAATTTCCCCATAAGAATTAATGTAAATTGAGGGTGGGGAGGGGGGGAGGGAAATTTTTTTCACCAGACGAAAGACTATATTTTATATATATGTATACACAGTATAAGTTTTAAACAATTTAATACTGTACACAGCAATGATGATTGTGAAGCTTGGTTGAGGTGGTGGAGTCAGAGGTGGAAGAGGGAGGGATACTTCCCAGGAAATGCCTTACTGCTAAATGATGAACTAGCACTCAGCTGAGCCCTCAAGGGTTAACACATTGTTGTTAATGTAGCCTCACACTCTGTATACAGCACGAATGGAGGGAGGGGAGACAGCACGGCAGACATAGACACACACCCTGTGTGTGAGAGAGAGAGATGCGCATTGCCCCTTTAAGTACGCTGACCCCACTCTAAATACACTGCTCTTTTAGATCAGGAAGTTGAGACAGCAGCTGCTGCCTGCAAGCTCCCTCCATCTTGAGCCCTGTCGTCTACCTTCCCCCTCCCCCCCAGCTCTATGGAGATAGGGTAAGCGGGGGGCAGGAGCAGGGGGGAGGGGGACACCCTGATATTAGCCCGCCTCTTGCACCCCCCACCCCACCCCCGCACAGCAAGCAGGAGGCTCCCGGGAGCAGCTACAAGGCAGAGGGCAGGAGCAGCACGTGGCAGTGGGGGGAGGGACAACTGAACTGCCGGCAATTGATAACCTGCTGGGCGGCTGCCGCACAGGGAACTTAGGGGAGCGGAGAGCTGATGGGGGAGCTGCCGGTCCACCCTGGTTCCAAGCCCCCACCAGCTCGCTGCAATGGGCTGCTCTTTCTGCAAGCCGTGGACAAAGCAGGCAGCTGCCAAACAACGTTATACGGGAGCATTGCGCAACTTTAAACAAGCATGTTCCCTAATTGATCAGCAACGTAACAACGTAAACCGGGACGACTTTAAGTGAGGAAAAAGAACGAGCAGTACTTGTGGCATCCGATGAAGTGGGTTTTAGCCCACGAAAGCTTATGCCCAAATACATTTGTTAGTCTCTAAGGTGCCAGAAGTACTCATTCTTTTTGCTGATACAGACTAACACGGCTACCCCTCTGAAAGCTGTCACCATTTAAGTGAGGAGTTACTGTACAGCACAGACCTCTGTGACTTGAGCTAATGGAGTATTTGATAGATGATGACAACCTACTACTGCTATGTGGACCATTTACAAGAGCAGGGGATGAGACATGTTTTGCCAGTGGGTCTCGCAACTATTTGCTGACAGCAGAGAAACATGGAGACTCAGAAATCCTAGGTTATTCTAGCCAGGTTCCAAGAGAAGTGTGCTTTAGTGGTTACAGACCCTTCTGTCTCTAGCCAAAGCACCCGCCAGGCCTAGCTCCTCACCTCTCTGCATCCAGCCATGCTGATTGCGCCTCCTCATTACTGCCAGGGTGCAGCAGCAGGAGCATTGGGAGCACAGAAGAATCTCCCGGCTCTCAGTTCCAGCTTCCTAGTGGTCCCTGGCTGCCAGGAATGAACGAGCCTAGAAAGTGAATGGACTTACTTGTGCTCAGTAACTTCCTGTAGATAGTTCTAATTTTGATTAAGCTTGGTGTGCCTGTGAAGTGGGGCAGGTATGAGACATGCCAAAGTTCGGATTGAATTTCCACTTGTCACGCTGTTCGTTTTGGCTGGAGAGGAGGAGGGGTTGTCTGGGCACCAATTTTGGGGTGTGGAGCAGGAATTTTCAGTCTTTGCTTTCTCTACATTTTTGTGAGGGTTAGATGACATAGATAGATTTGCCAGTGGGCTAGTTCAGTCTATGAATTACTAAAGATGTTCGGCTTTATAAGGGAGCAAGAGAAAATAACTAAACTTCTAGAAACTGAAAGAAAGGGTTTTTGATAGCTGTCAAATTTAGCACTAAGCATTACCTAATACTCGGGAATATTATCTGTGGAGCTTGCAGTCTGCAAGGCTCCTACTGTTTCAGAATTGGTGCAAAAGTTGCCAAGATTTTCAGACTAAAGTTGACTCCATCTACACTACAGAAAGAGTAGGAGTACTTGTGGCACCTTAGAGACTAACATTTATTTGAGCATAAGCTTTCGTGGGCTACAGCCCACTTCTTCGGATGCATAGAATGGAACATATATTGAGGAGATATATATACACACATACAGAGAGCATGAAAAGGTGGGAGTTGTCTTACCAACTCTGAGAGGCCAATTAAGTAAGAGGGAAAAAAAACTTTTGAAGTGATAATCAAGATAGCCAGTCCAGACAGTTTGATAAGAAGTGTGGGAGTACTTACATGGGGAGATAGATTCAATGTTTGTAATGGCTCAGCCATTCCCAGTCTCTATTTAAGCCTAAATTGATTGTATCTAATTTGCATATCAATTCAAGCTCAGCAGTTTCTCGTTGGAGTCTGTTTTTGAAGCTTTTTTGTTGCAAAATTGCCACCCGCAAGTCTGTCATTGAATGACCAGACAGGTTAAAGTGTTCTACTGGTTTTTGAATGTTATGATTCCTGATGTCAGATTTGTGTCCATTAATCCTTTTGCGAAAGAGATACACAGAAAGAGTGTGTAGAGACCCAGGCACACTATAGTAGTTGCTGACACAATTACAAAACGGTTCTGTCTTTTAATGCAGAGTTAAGACCAAACCATGTTGTAACCATGTTGCCAAACAGTAGTACACATTTGAATGTTAGCGAGGCTGTGGAATGACTTAGGCGCATGGTTAGAAGAGTTTGGTTCTGTTTGTGCTGATAATTCCAAGTGTGTGAGACAGGGATGCTGTCTATTTGGAATCTAGTTAGTGCTTTAAAGTTAAAAGTTATGTTGGGTACTGCACCTGGGCCTGGATCCCACTGACATGTTTTGTGCTTTTCCAGTCACTTTTTCCTCTTTTTAACATTTTTTTCCTCTCTACTGTTCCTGTGTGTGAAAGACCCACATAGACAGGGGAAGCTCACTGTGTGGGGTTGGGGGGAAGTGAAACTAACTGCACAAATAGTCCCATTAAATGTACAAAGTATGCTGGAAAGTACCTTTCAGTTATAGTCACCATAGCATTACTTATAACAATAGTAGGAAAAACATTTCAGGCAGAAGTTTATTTTTTAAGCTGGAGTCTTTCGCTGTGCCTGGGGCACTTTAGTGACACATCAGACACAGTAGTTCCTGCTTTTTAGGTGGGAACTCTGTTGCACATAAACCTATGCTGAGGAGCTAAGCTCTTAGTTACATTTCCTGAGAATTTATTCGCAAAGTATTTTTCCGTGGTAGAGGTGGGGACAAGAGATCTCTGAAACCTTAGTCAGTTTACAACGATTTACAGTTTTATAGCAGAAAGCTTGCTAATACCTGAAATATCCTCCTTAAACTCAGAATTGCCATAATGCTAACTGTAAGAAATATTGATCCAAAATTCTGTTTAAGATACCTTGAACTGCTGGCACATTAAGCTTAACAAAATCTGCTGTGGTAGAGCAGGAAACAATTGGCTGATTATTATTAGTGGCTTCATAATAAAAGTGATAAATAGTAATTCCTGAATGGAGACAGTGAGAGTTCAGCACAGTTGCAACATGTTTTTACTCTGGGGATCTCAATCTCATTTTAGGTTGTCCCACAAATAAATAGTATTTGTGTAGAAACATAGCAGGAACCATCTGCAATCTTCAACGGTTAAGCAGCAGTTCTGCAGAAAAGGACCTGGGGATTACAGTGGACGAGAAGCTGGATATGAGTCAGCAGTGTGCCCTTGTTGCCAAGAAGGCCAACGGCATATTGGGCTGTATAAGTAGGAGCATTGCCAGCAGATCAAGGGACGTGATCATTCCCCTCTATTCGACATTGGTGAGGCCTCATCTGGAGTATTGCGTTCAGTTTTGGTCCCCCTACTACAGAAGGGATGTGGACAAATTGGAGAGAGTCCAGCGGAGGGCAATAAAAATGATTAGGGGGGGCTGGGGCACATGACTTATGAGGAGAGGCTGAGAGAACTGGGGTATTTAGTTTGCAGAAGAGAAGAGTGAGGGGGGATTTGATAGCTGCTTTCAACTACCTGAAGGGGGGCTCCAAAGAGGATGGAGCTCAGCTGTTCTCAGTGGTGGCAGGTGACAGAACAAGAAGTAATGGTCCCAAGTTGCAGTGGGGGAGGTTTAGGTTGGATATTAGGAAACACTGTTTCACTAGGAGGGTGGTGAAGCACTGGAATGGGTTACCTAGGGAGGTGATGGAATCTCCATCCTTAGAGGTTTTTAAGGCCCGGCTTGACAAAGCCCTGGCTTGGATGATTTAATTGGTGTTGGTCCTGCTTTGAGCAGGGGGTTGGACTAGATGACCTCCTGAGATCTCTTCCAACCCTAATATTCTATGATGTAACACAAAGTAGCATTAAGCTGATTCTGTGAACATTGCAGAGACAAATTGGCTTGAGCTGTTTAGATTGTAAAGCCTTAAGACTCATATTGTTAGTTTGGAGTGTCCATGTTACAAGCTACTTTAAGTCTGTATGTGTGAATTGTTAAAAAAGATAAGCACTTTCTTGCCATGGCTGAACTGAATATGCAGTCCTACTTGTCTGTAATTTCTGTATGAGATCATTTGAGACGGATATTCTCCATTCAAGGTATTTGGTCATCTTCCTTTTTCCCCATAAAGCAAGAGCATTGGTTTAATCGTTTTTGTAAAAACATCCAAAATGAGTTATGGTTATACAATTTGCTTTGCAGGTTTTAAATCTTCTAACAGAGAAAGAAGTAAAGCTTGTCTTGCCGACACATGCCATTGTTCCACGGACCTTTGTACTTAAGCCTGGAATGGTTTTGTTTCTAGGTGCTTTGGGACGCATAGACTATGTGCAGGTAAGGGAGAGTGGATTTTGTAATGTTCTGTGAATAAGATCTTGTTTGCGTTTTGTGGTGTTATAACAAGTTACAAAACACCTTCACCATCAGGCTATTTGTGTAGCTTTCGTTACCATTTCTTTGTCAGCTGCTGCTCTTAAGATTTCCACTAAGGAAACACAAACCTCGTTGTGTAAAGTAAAAAATGCTTTTGAAAAAGGCTTTGCCATATGATAGCCCAAAGTGAAGATTTTTGTACTGTAAAGGAGCATCTTGCAAGAGGTCCTGAGCTTTGTTCTAAATGAAACTGGAGAATTGCTTTGAGATTGACGGGTCACTAACAGAACAAGGGTACAAATCCTTGCAAGGTGGCTAACGGTGCTAGAGTGTAGCCAAAATGAATCGACTTTAAAGGGACAGTGTCCAGTGGTTACATGAAAGAGCTACATAGATAGGGAAATTGATTAGGGGCATTTCTGCTTTTCCCTCAACATTTATAAGAATTGTTTAGTCAAGGGAGAAAAGAAAAATGATGACACCAAACACTATCCAACAAACAAAGAAAAAATAAACTGGAAAAATACTGTTCTTTGCTAATCCTTTTCACTCTCGGCAGTTCTGGGTAAAACCTCCTTCATATAGACGTGTGATTCGTATTGGGATGATTTCCCTTAAAGTGATTTCTGTTAGGTGGTGGTTGAGTCATGTTACGTACTCGTGCTAATTCCCCTTAGTGATGCTTTGCTTCATTTTGAAAAGAAAGGCTATTAGAACAGGGCAAGGAGTGAGATTTTTCAAAAGTTATTGTAGAAATACATTTGATTAGTATTTCCTCCAGGTTTAAAGAAATGTCTAATAGTAAAGGGCAGAGCAGAGGGGTGTGTGTCTGGGGTCCATTCTCCCCTTTATACACTTGCATTATTAATGGAAGTTTTATTTATTCTATTTCTAAAATACAGCTGTCGATGCCCGTCCAGTGCTCTGCATGCCTAGCACATAAATAAAAAATCCACCAAAGACTGCCCATAAATAGATCCACCTCAGCCAACCCCTCCTCAACAGCCTTAGGCAAGATCTGCTAGAGCGCTTTGCCTGTATAACTATACCAGTATACTATCCAGGCAAAGCGCTCCTAGTGTGGGTGCAGCATGTACAGGCAAAACTGAACTTTTGCTGGTATAGCTTATTCTAGGCCCCACCATCCCCACCCCGAGTGAAATAAACTATATTGGTAAAATCACAGTTTTGCTGATATAATTGCATCCACACTAGGGGCTTTTGCCAGCACAGCTATGTCAATCGCAAATCTTCATACCCTTGATCAACATATCTGAGCTGGCAAAAGTGTGTAGTGTAGCCTTGGGCTTGTGGGGGGAGTTGTATCCATGCATCAGTAGGAGACTAGATTCCTTGGTTTGGATTTGATGTAATCCTGTTTTCCCACTGCAGTTTGGATGTACAATTCATTATAGTAATTTTCATGCGTAAATTTGGTTTGTAGAATTCTAGGCACCCCCAAGCAGAGCCTGGTAAACAAGAGGGATATTTTACTACCAGATCTGGGAAATGGTCTGAGAGGATCAGCTGGGCCGGAGAAGTCTGTCACGCCATCCAGAAATAAGCCTGCCAGTTTTGTTCACACGGGCAGTACTTTCAGTATTGTGAACTAAGCTAATGTAGAGATCAGGGTGGGCAAACTTTTTAGCCTGAGGGCCACATTGGTGAATAGAAATTGTATGGCAGGCAATGAATGCTCACAAAATTGGGGTTGGGGTGCGGGAGGGGGTGAGGGCTCTGGTTGGGGGTGCAGGCTCTGGGGTGGGGCTGGGCAGTTTGGGGTGTAGGAGGGTGCTCTGGGCTGGGACCGAGGGGTTCAGAGGGTGGGAGTGGGATCAGGGCTGGGGCAGGATCCCCTGGGAAGCTAATACGAGGGGGCAAGGAGTCCAGGAGAGCTGCCTGTATTTTAAAGGAGCCTTATTGAGGGCACAGGAACAAATGGTCCCAAAGTGCAGAAAGAATAGCAAATATGGCAGGTGACCAGCTTGGCTTAACAGCGAAATCTTCAGTGAGCTTAAACACAAAAAGGAAGCTTGCAAGAAGTGGAAATTTGGACAGATGACTAGGGAGGAGTATAAAAATATCGCTAGAGCATGCAGGGGTGTAATCAGGAAGGCCAAGGCACAATTGGAGTTGTAGCTAGCAAGGGATGTGAAGGGTAACAAGAAGGGTTTCTACAGGTATGTTAGCAACAAGAAGAAGGTCAGGGAAAGTGTGGGACCCTTACTGAATGAGGGAGGCAACCTAGTGACAGATAATGTTGAAAAAGCTGAAGTACTCAATGCGTTTTTTGCCTCGGTCTTCACAGACAAGGTCAGCTCCCACACTGCTGTACTGGGCAACACAGTATGGGGAGGAGGTGAGCAGCCCTCAGTGGTGAAAGAACAGGTTAAGGACTATTTAGAAAAGCTGGACAGGCACAAGTCCATGAGTGCAGATCTAATGCATCCAAGGATGCTGAGGGAGTTGGCTGATGTGATTGCAGAGCCATTGGCTGTTACCTTTGAAAATTCGTGGCGATCGGGGGAGGTCCCAGATGATTGGAAAAAGGCAAATATAGTGCCCATATTTAAAAAAGGGAAGAAAGAGAATCCAGGGAACTACCGACCGGTCAGCCTCACTTCAGTCCCCAGCAAAATCATGGAGCAGGTCCTCAAGGAATCCATTCTGAAGCACTTGGAGGAGAGGAAGGTGATCAGGAACAGTCAACATGGATTCACCAAGGGCAAGTCATGCCTGACTAACCTGATTGCCTTCTATGATGAGATAACTGGCTCTGTGGATATGGGGAAAGTGGTGGATGTGAGATCATCTTGACTTTAGCAAAGCTTTTGATACGGTCTCCCACAGTATTCTTGCCAGCAAGTTTTAAAAGTATGGATTGGATGAATGGACTATAAGGTGGATAGAAAGCTGGCTAGATTGTTGGGCTCAGCGGGTAGTGATCAACCGCTTGATGTCTAGTTGGCAGCTGGTATCAAGAGGATTGCCCCAAGGGTCGGTTCTGGGGCCGGTTTTGTTCAACATCTTTATTAATGATCTGGATGATGGGATGAATTGCACCCTCAGCAAGTTTGCAGATGACACTAAACTGGGGGGAGAAGTAGATATGCTGGAGGGTAGGGATAGTGTCCAGAGTGACCTAGACAAATTGGAGGATTGGGCCAAAAGAAATCTGATGAGGTTCAACAAGGACAAGTGCAGAATCCTGCACTTAGGAAGGAAGAATCCCATGCACCGCTACAGACTGGCTAAGCAGTAGTTCTGCAGAAAAGGACCAGTAGCATAGCTAGTGGGGTGCAGGGGAAGCAGCCGCTTCCCCTCAGCACATTTCCCAAAAGCGGCGCCTGCTGGACCGGCGCTGGGGACAGCACGGCCGGAGGGGCCATGGGGGGCGGGGGGCTCCTCGGCCATCGCGCCCCACGTGGCCCCAACATCTCCGCAGGCGCAGCCACCTCCTGCGGCGGCTCAGGGCTCGGCAGCCAAGCGCTCCCCGTCCCGAGCCGGAGCCGAAGCCGGGTTCCGCCCGCGGCGCGGGGCCGGGATCGGCTGGGGACAGGCGGCGGCGCAGGACAGAAGGTGAGCGGCGGGGGTCCGGTGCCTTGCACTGGGGGGTCCCCTCCGGGCGAGGGGCTCCCCGGGGCCAGGCCCGCAGGGCAGGGGCGCAGGCCGCGCTGTCTGGACGGAGGGCCCTGGCACGGCGCAGGAGCCTGGAGCCCGGGGGACGGGACCCCGCGGGTGGGGCCGGGCAGCAAAGCCCGGTGGGGGACACCTGCAGAGCGGGCTGGGCAAGAGAGACTCTCCTGGGACCGCGGGGGGACGGGGGTATCCGCACCCCCAGGAAGCCCACAGGCGTCCTGAGCCGGGCCCCAGGGTTAATCTGGGGGGGGGAAACGGGAGGAGCCAAGGGGGACGTGGCAAGAGGAGGAGCCAAGGGGGGGTGCCTTTTTTATGTTTGCTCCCCATGTGCTTAGGCCCTGGCTACGCCACTGAAAAGGACCTGGGGATTACAGTGGATGAGAAGCGGGATGAGAGTCAGCAGTGTGCCCTTGTTGCCAAGAAGGCCAACGGCATATTGGGCTGTATTAGTAGGAGCATTGCCAGCAGATCAAGGGAAGTGATTATTCCCCTCTATTCGGCACTGGTGAGGCCACACCTGTAGTATTGCGTCCAGTTTTGGTCCCCCCACTACAGAAGGGATGTGGACAAATTGGAGAGAGTCCAGCGGAGGGCAGCAAAAATGATTACGGGGCTGGGACCACATGACTTAAGAGGAGAGGCTGAGGGAACTGGGCTTATTTAGTCTGCAGAATTTGATAGCAGCCTTCAACTACCTGAAGGGGGGTTCCAAAGAGGATGGAGCTCGGCTGTTCTCAGTGGTGGCAGATGACAGAACAAGAAGTAATGGTCTCAAGTTACAGTTGGGGAGGTCTAGGTTGGATATTAGGAAACACTATTTCACTCGGAAGGTGGTGAACCCATTCACTGGAGTGGGTTACCTAGGGAGGTGGTGGAATCTCCTTCCTTAGAGGTTTTTAAGGTCAGGCTTGACAAAGCCCTGGCTGGGATGATTTAATTGGTGTTGGTCCTGCTTTGAGCAGGGGGTTGGACTAGATGATCTCCTGAGGTCCCTTCCAACCCTGATATTCTATGATTCTGTGATTCTAAAGGGTGCGGGCTCCGGCTGGGGGTGCAGGCTCTGGGGTGGGGCTGGGGATGAGAGGTTTGGGGTGCAGGAGGGTGCTCTGTACTGGATCAGGGGGGTTGGAGAGCGTGCAGGGGGTTGAGGCATGGGGAGAGTCTCGGGTGTAAGCGCTTACCTCAAGCGATTCCCGGAAGCAGTGGCATGTCTCTTCTCTGACTCCTATGCATGTAGCGGCCCCTGACCCTCAGAGCGGGGCCATGCGGCTGCGTCCGGGAGCCATGTGGTGTGGTCCCGAAGCCTGCACCCCAGAGCGGGGCCATGCCGCGGTTTACGGGGGCCACGTGGTGCAGCCCCTGACCCCGCTCCCCAGCGGGAGCTTGCGGGCCGTAGTTTGCCCACCCTTGGTAAAGATACACATTCTGTAACATTTGACTATCATTTTATTTGGATGACCTGAGTGTAGAACAGATTGTTCTGGTTTTGTTTGTTTGTTTGTTTAAGTGCCATTCCAATTATCCAAATTCCTTTTCTCTGAAAATCCACAGTGTGTCCCCCATGTAGCCACTTGTTAGTTAATAGCACTTCCATTTATCTGAATACACAGTTATCCACGCCATAGGGATAAATGTGAGTGCACTGTATTTGTATTATAGTAGCACCTAAGTATTGTGCTGTGATGCAGAAGCTCTAGAATCAGGAAGGTTCTGGGCTTGCTTTAGGACTAGAAACTTTGAGGTGGCACACTGTTGTATTTTTGTATTGAAAGCTCAGCTCCATTATTTGCGGAGAAGTCATTGTTTATCATAGAAACAGTACAGATGCATTTCGAAGACTAAGACCCTGCCTATCTAGATGAGAGAGAATCATGTAACAGAACTACTTTTAAACAGAAGGTGGGGGAAGGCTGGACAGTAACTTGTAAATATCTTTACAGCATTCAGTTTAACAATCACCCCTCATTAATTTTAGGGAGCAAAATCCTCCTGGTTTTCTGTTGTGGCTTCTAACCTGTTGCCAGTCCATGTTACTACCCTGGAGAAAGCAGATAGCATCTATCAGAAGCATGCTGGAAAAACATTACTGAAGGTAAGAGGAGACCTTCTATATGGTGTTCTGGTATGTGTAAGGAGTAAGGTCATGTGATTTCTTTTGTAGCTCAACAGGCATCCCTTACTGGTTTCCCTATGCATGACACAACAGAGACTTTAAGTCCTCGCTAGAACTCTTTATGCATTGTCTTGTCAGTGATTCTTCCCCTTTCTGGGAAAACCAAATAAAAGAGAGATGCATTATTCCTCCCCTGACTGTGGGAAACAGCTACGAGAATGAAAATCTTATTGCCAGTCACAACACACATTTTTCCTGTTTAAAATTAAACTAACTCAGCAAGAGGGAGCTCCCTCTGTGCATGGACAGAGGAACAGGGCATGGGCAGAGGTTAGGACTTTAGCCTGGGGCTTTGGAAGACTTGGGTTGAATTCCCTGCTCTGCTTGTGTACAAGGGACCATATTAGTACATTAGACAGTCTTGTAAGTAGGGATATAACTTTTTTTTTTTTCAGAAGCACACAAACTACTACTGAGCAGTCTTCATTAAAATTAAAAAATGGCTGGTGGGGTTTAGGCTTAGGCTTATGCTTGCCAAGGCATCATATTCTGGCTCAGGGAGAAAGCCCCTCTTTCTGCAGCGCTGATGAGGCAACATCTGGAATACTGTGTTCTGAGCTAGGTCCACTGATGCCAGGAAGACATTGACAAGTTGGAGCTACTCAGGCAGGAGTTCAGAGGCAAGCAACAAAACCTGAATGTCTGCTATGGAAAGATATAAATTGGCAAAACACAAAGGGAGAGAAATATAAAAGGCAGAGAGGTCAAGAACTACAAATAGGAGCAACAAGGTGGAATTAAGAAATAGAAATACCTGGAAGTGATGTAGATCCCATCATTTGGGACTTCTGAAACTAGATAGGGAAGAGATCTAAGATTTCAGATTGACACCTAGTTCCATAGCACTTCTGTAGCAAGACCTGTATGTCTTTTAATATATTGACATTTTATTTTCTATATCTTATATTTTAAGCATGCAGTTTGATAGTGTAATTTGAAATGATTTTGACTAAAATTCATTCAATGCATGGTGTGGAAATATTTGTTTTTTAAAAAAGCAATATTCTCATGATTTAGGCTTTATCTAGAAAGCTGTGGAGTTAGCACATTGGTTAATGTACTAGGTAAAACATTCAGAAGTCTAGCGTAGACAAGCTGTGCATACTTTAACATATATTAGCTGATTAAGTTAAAAATCTGTGTTGCTCCCCTCTCCGCTCCCCCCCTGGTTTGCCTCAACCAGCTAACATGTTAATACTTGCCCTTTCAACACTAGGATTTTAAATGTGTTAGCTGTCATGTTTTTAAAATGCATCTTTTTGTCTTCCTATAAGCAGGGCCTCTGTGTATATATATGTGCGTATCTTGATGTGTTTTAACTTGTTTCCTTGGCAATACCACTAAAACAAACACTCTCTCTGTAGTAAATATTAAGGATCCCCTAGCTACATGGTACATTTTCCACTATCTGAAGCAGTTTAAAGCTGTCTCTTCTGGTATTGATCTTCACTTGCAAAGCAACAGTACAACTCACTGCTCATGCTGAATTCACTTTATGAATTATTGCACCATTTACAAAAATAAATGTTTCAGAGATTGTAGTATTAGTAACTTTTGCTATTTCATTGAACTAGCCTGGAACTGAATCCTGACATTTACCCAAATAGGACAATCTCTGATACTGTAATATCTACTTCTTGGCATCTCTAAGGCACCCTGGTTTGATATCTAAATGAAATCTTTATCACCTTGACATTTGTTTCTGGACAAACTGTCCCTTAACTGTACAAATGCCATTTTTAATAGAAAAGTTATATGAGAACAGTTACTCATTAAATGTGTCCAGTGTTTGAGTTGGTTAGAATAGAATTAGTTAAGTTGCTGCATTTCACTTTGTAACTTATTCTGTAACTTGAGAAGTTTAAAGTTGTCTTTGTTGTCAGCTTTTAACTCCTTTCTCCTATATTTTATTGTTAGGTTCCCATGGGGGGTGAAGAGCGAATGAAGGAATTCCCACCGCTTATTCCTCAGGAAATTACGCTGGAAGGAATTGGCACCCTTGAGGCAGTGGCTGACATAAAGCTGTCCTCTGCTGGTAATTCTGTATTTCCTCCTCCACATGCAGGGTATCAGCTCCTGCTGTGCACTGTTGTTCTTGGATGTAATCATGTGACTTGCAAAGGTCTTGTGACTAGGAAAGGTGACACAGAGTCAACCAAATGCCTGCTGCCTTGTATGTCATTATGAACAATTGTTTTCTACTTTGGTGGTAGATTTTCAAAAGTGCTTGGCACCCAGCAGCTTCCGTTCTTCATCTAAATGGGATCTGTTGGGTGCTGAATCTGTGTGAAAATCTGACCCTTTGTCTTAAATTGGTGTCCCTTTCCATTTTTAAAATTTGATACAGTTGATTTTCATTTTGTTTGAAAGAAGTTGTAACTAACTGGATTCTGTTCTGGTATCTGCACAGGTTGGGTTGCAGTAACTGCTCACTTGGAAGACAAACTACAGCTGCGAGCCTATACTCCTGAAGGGACAACACTGATGATACGTAAACCTCCTCTGTTGCCTCATATCGTTGGCATCAAAGGGAACCGCATCAGAAGAAGTGCGTCCTATAGAACTAAAAAGCCACCTCCCCTAGTGGAGAACTTAAAGGCAAATGGAACAAATAAAAAAAAGTGTATCTAAAATTTAAGAAGCACAGGAGCTGGGAAGCCCTTGGACATACGTGTTGCTTACAGAAAATTACAAAAACATACATTCTGATTTTAAGATTGGCTTCTGTAAAACATGTTTGAAAGACCTAGCAAATGCAGGTTTGAAGTTTGTATCAGGCTACTGCATAGTGCAGCTCATGGGATCATGTGATTTGCAGTCTCTACTTCCCATTACCAGATGGCCTGCCTCATTCAGACTCTAGTTCTGCATTTGACAGACAGATGTGGCATCACTTCACATTATTGCTGGTTCCCCTACAGTGAGTATGGCTGCCGTCAGGATGGGAGGGTAATCTCAGTTACAGCAGGAGGGCTTTAGTGAAGCTGTCAAAACATGTAAATCTTTCTGGTTGCTTCCGATATTTGGACAGGAGACACATTGCTTGTTTTCTGGCTTTTCGCATGAAATTAGTGATAAAGATTTCAGAAAGAAGCCCCTAAAGACCATCTGTAAGGGTACAGACTCACCCCTGCGGCACCCCCTACTGGTTGCTTCGGGGAATCAGCTCGTCCAGCGTCTGGAGCGCCCTCTACAGGCCGGTGATCCACCTTGTCCCTCGCATTGGCCCCCGTGTCCCTCCCAGGATCCCGGTGCCCCTTGCTCTGGGTTCTGCCCCCTGGCAGTACCCCACAGATCTGGGTCTCCCCTCCCTGGGGAACCCCCACCTCGCCTCAGTACTAGTTGCCAGTCACCAACTAGCCCCTGCTCCCTGGGGCAGACTGCAGTATAGGCCACTCATCGTCGGCAAGGTTGGGTGTGGACCTGCTGCCTTGGCCTACCCCTGGGCTGCCCTCTGCAACCCCCAGTACCTGTTGGCCTTATGCTAGGCCGCAGCCTGGGGCTTTCCAGGCTGGAGCTCCCCAGCTCCTCAGCCTTTCCCCAGCCCTGCTCTACTCAGGTACCCTACCTCTAGATCCCTGCAGCCAGGCCCTTCTCTCTCTGAAGGCAGAGAGAGACTCTGGCCTGAGCTCCTGGTTCCCTGCCTTTATAGGGCCTGCTCAGGCTGTTTGGGGCGTGGCCCCAGCTACAGCCACTTCCCCCAATCAGCTCAGCCTTCACACTGCCTGCTTCCTGGGCTATCTCAGGCCCTTCCCGGCAGGGGCAGGTGTCCCCCCCCCCCCCCCCCCCCCCCCCCCCCCCCCCAAGATCACCACCCCTGGGGGTAGAGGTGTCTCCTGGCCTGGACCAGTCACCCGTGTGCCTCCAGAGCCGCCTGCTTCTTTTCCGAGTCCTCCAGCTGTTTCCGTAAGCAGACCTCCTCGTCCACTATGGCTGCATATTCTTTAGCGAGGTCCACCCCACTCTCTTGAGCCTCGCGGAGGGCTCGGTCTGTAGCCTCCAGCTGCGCACGCAGGTCAGACTCCCCCTGAGCCTCCACCCTCAGGCTCTGAGTCCATTTGGTTTCCTGTTCCACGACCACCTGGGTCCCGGCCTCTTGCTGGGTCCACTCGGTCTGGGTATCCCCATTGGCGACCGGCTCTGTGATGGTCTGGGTCCCAACTCCCTGCTGGGTCCCCGCCATCTCCACCTCAGCCTCTGTCACCTTCTCCAGGTGAAGTGTGGCCCCTCCTGGGCCTCCAGGCACCTCCATCGGCCGACCCTCAACTCCCTTGAGAGGGCAATGCCTCCTAATGTGGCCCGGCTTCCGGCAGCCCCAGCAAACTTGCCGCTTCTTGGCTGTTGTGGGCCTTTCAGGATCCCTCCAAGGTCCCGCCCCCTCGCCGGGGCTGACCTGGACCCTTTGCCTCAGGCCTGGGCATGC